TTCAAGACCAAAATTAGCCAAATCGGTCCAGCCGTTCTCAAGTTTTAGCGAGACTAATGAACAGCAACTCATTTTTATATATATAGATAAGTGCTAAAGTATTCATTTTTCTTGAATACTGCAAATAAAACTTCACCTTAATCCTTCACAGAAGGAAAGGGCAATGTTATCATAATAATTATAATATTCAGTAATACCATCCAATCGAAATATGCCAACAAAATATCTATAGATTCGTACGTAGTTCGTATTCGTCGTGGCCTAAAAGATAAGACGTCCGGTGCATTCGTGTTGAAGCGATGCACCGGTGTACGAATCTCAGGCGGGTACCAATTTTTCTAATGAAATACGTACTCAACAAATGTTCACGATTCACTTCCACGGTGAAGGAATAACATCGTGTAATAAAAGTGAAACCCGCAAAATTATAATTTGCGTAATTACTGGTGATAGGACCTATTGTGAGTCAGCACGGGTAGGTACCACCGCCCTGCCTATTTCTGCCGTGAAGCAGTAATGCGTTTCGGTTTGAAGGGTGGGGCAGCCGTTGTAACTATACTGAGACCTTAGAACTTATATCTCAAGGTGGGTGGCGCATTTACGTTGTAGATGTAAAAAATATATACTTAGTCTTTTTTTTTATTGCTTTAATGTGTGGACGAGCTAACAGCCCACCTGGTACTAAGTGGTTACTGAAGCCCATAGACGTTGTAGATGTCTATGGGCTCCAGTAACCACTTCACACCAGGTGGGCTGAGCTCGTCCACCCATCTAAGCAATAAAAAAAACGTGAAGCAAAAACTTTTTACCTCTTTTTACAAAAATTGCGCCGACGCAGGAGTATGAAATATTCCACATTTATAAAGAATATAGAGAAGAAGTGCAGAATACTAATATTTTTTTCAAATTATGGATTAAAAATACATTAAATCAATAAAGAAAACATTACACATACTACCATGTATTTGACACACACACATATACTCTTTGTTTATTGTCAAACTTTTGTTATTGCTTTAAATCTGTAGTCAAATTGAGAATAGGTTAATATTGTTTATCTTTAATATTACGTATTTAATTTGTGTATAGTGTAGTCTTGGCGAAATCTGTAACAATAGAACAATAATAATGTTGAAACTTATAATTAGTCGGACTTCAACTACTGCAGGCCACTAATTAAAATAAAGATCCGTACCAAAGCATCATTTCGCTGCCATAAAAGTAAATGCCATATGCTTCAAATGCCTTCCGATTCTGCAGGAGACCAGGTCGTCCCACGCGCTCCAGGAGAGCTGTCTACAAGAACGGAGATGAGAATGTACCGGTCCGGAGTAACATACCCGCTAAGTCCATCAAATACATGCGGGATTTGGTGAATACTGTCGTAAGTATACCTACACGGGGAACCAGCAAATATTACGCCATGTAATGATCGAAAGTGCTCTACCAATTGAGAGGCTCTACCGATTAAGGATACCGAAGCTGATCGGTATACCCAAAACGGGCATGAAATCTATGATTCAAGTCTGTTTTATACTTATTTATTTATTTATTTAGATACACCAACAGCAATACACACAAAACATTCAAGCATAAAATGAACAATATGTATAAAATTAAGTACTGGTATGTAAGCCAAGTACAGGCATGTACAGCAATCTCTTATAACCAGCTTATAACACACTATGACACGTCGAACCCGTCACCGTCCTCGTCGAACCCGTCGCTTGCGACGAAGGGCCCGACGAGCGAATGAACCCACAGACACAGCCCACTGAGTTTCTCGCCGGATCTTCTCAGTGGGTCGCGTTTCCGATCCGGTGGTAGATTCTGCGAAGCACTGCTCTTGCTAGGGTCAGTGTTAGCAACTCTCCGGTTGAGCCCCGTGAGCTCACCTACAAACGTTAGGGCGAAGCTGAAATAGTCTCTCAAGGCTATCAGCATAGGTAGGAAANCTATGACACGTCGAACCCGTCACCGTCCTCGTCGAACCCGTCGCTTGCGACGAAGGGCTCGGCGAGCGAATTAACCCACAGACACAGCCCACTGAGTTTCTCGCCGGATCTTCTCAGTGGGTCGCGTTTCCGATCCGGTGGTAGATTCTGCGAAGCACTGCTCTTGCTAGGGTCAGTGTTAGCAACTCTCCGGTTGAGCCCCGTGAGCTAACCTACACACGTTAGGGTGAAGCTGAAATAGCCTCTCAAGGCTATCAGCATAGGTAGGAAAAAAATAATAATGACATGTTACAGCAATTTTACAAACAGCGGAAAAATAGGTTAAATTTAAATGATAACAGTACGACATAAAAAATAATTGAAAAGAACATGAAAACAAGAGTTAACTACTTAACATTCTCTCATCAATTATAAACAAAGAAACTTGGATACTAGTTTGTTTTTGAGACCAGGATACATGTCGTTAAAAATGTCGATGCCATCAATTAATGCACTTATTTGGTTATATTCATTACAAATCTTTGATAAAGGAGACTGGCTTATGCTGACTATCCCCACACAAATTTTTTCACTACAATGTCTATTGGTTCTGAGAGCAACATTTACACTAATTTGGCCATAAGCTAGTCCACGCTTTTGTGGCCGTTGTAGGTAGACGATCGCACAGCTCACCTAATGGCGAGTACTCACCGTCATGGAAATCAATATCACCAGGAGCTCAGCCAAGCCACTGTTTACTACTGAGGACTCTCCGCAAACCTTGTTTGAAGAAGGAAATGTCATAGCGCTCGGGAAATATCACATTTAAGAGCCAGATGATACGTTTTTTTTTATTGCTTAGATGGGTGGATGAGCTCACAGCCCACCTGGTGTTAAGTAGTTACTGGAGCCCATAGACATCTACAACGTAAATGCGCCACCCACCTTGAGATATAAGTTCTAAAGTCTCAAGTGTAGTTACAATGGCTGCCCCCCTTCAAACCGAAACGCATTGCTGCTTCACGACCGAAATAGGCAGGGTGGTGGTACCCACTTGCTAGGACTCACAAGAGGTCCTACCACCAGTAAATACGTGGCAAAAAGATTTCTAGAAACGCATTGTAGATGAACGCAGATGTTCCAGATAGTAAAAATGAACTCTGCTTCAGTGGTGGGTGATGAGATGGTAAATACGAGGTCATCTTGAACAAACCCTCAAAGTACTAAGTCGTCGTGGCCTAACGGATAAGACGTCCGGTGCATTCGTGTTGATCAATGCACGGGTGTTCGAATCTCAGGCGGGTACCAATTTTTCTAATGAAATACGTACTCAACAAATGTTCACGATTGATTTCCACGGTGAATGAATAACATCGTGTAATAAAAATGAAACCCGCAAAATTATAATTTGCGTAATTACTGGTGGTAGGACCTCTTGTGAGTCCGCGTGGGTGGGTACCACCACCCTGCCTATTTCTGCCGTGAAGCAGTAATGCGTTTCGGTTTGAAGGGTGGGGCAGCCGTTGTAACTATACTTGAGACCTTAAAACTTATATCTCAAGGTGGGTGGCGCATTTACGTCGTAGATGTCTATGGGCTCCAGTAACCACTTAACGCCAGGTGGGCTGTGAGCTCGTCCACCCATGTAAGCAATAAAAAAAAAAAACTTCAGCAATAAATACAATTACAGATAAACAGCAAATGGCGTTTCATCATGTTGCTGATGATCTGCGCTCATTTCGTGTTCTGGTTCATATTCGCTGGTATCTGGTACGCGGTGGCGACCTCTTACGCTGACGACATCGGGGACGGCAAGGAGCACTGCGTCACCGGTACCTCGTCTTTTGCAGGTCTACTTCTCATGACCATAGAGACACAGGTAATGACTAATTCTAAGTTGTCGTAGAGTCAATTTATGGCAAATTTAACTATAATTTAACATTATTTCATGTCAAGTGTTTCTTTATTATTATACAAGCTTTTTCCCGCAACTTCGTCCGCGTGGAATAGTTACTTTGGCATACCGCTAACTTTTACCCGCGACTTCATTTACGTAGAAAGTGAAAATATTTTTGAAAAATAGAATGTTAAGGAGCTATTTAAGGTACCAAAATCACGCTTTTTAACCGACTTCAAAAGAGGAGGCTGTCAATTCGACCACCGTTTCTAAATTTTCATAAAGCTACTACTACTACTACTACTGGTCCGATTAGAAAAATTATTTCAGTGTTAGATGGCTCATTTATTAAGGAAGGCTTTAGGCTATATAACATCACGCTAAGACAGGCGGAGCACCAATAAAGAATGTTTCAAAATTTGGGTTTTTTTTCCTTTTGAGAGATTCCGCTGCGTGCGCAGCAAATTTTATGTAGCCTATAGCCTTCCTCAATAAATGGGCGCCAGTTTGAGAAGGCGGCACGACATGAGAACCCTCTTATCGTGGCCACTGTAAACTACCTACATACTCGATCCTGTAGACCGAACGGTAAACCGTCGACGTCGCCCAAAGCACGTCATTACGGATCCTCCTGATCCATTAACGGTGCTTTTAGGCACCACAAGCACCGGTCACCATCCTCGTCGAACCCGTCGCTTGCGACGATGGGCTCGACGAGCGAATTAACTCATAGACACAGCCCACTGAGTTTCTCGCCGGATCTTCTGAGTGGGTCGCGTTTCCGATCCGGTGATAGATTCTACGAAGCATTGCTCTTGCTGGGGTTAGTATTAGCAACACTCCGGTTTGAGCCCTGTGAGCTCACCTACACACATTAGGGTGAAGCTGAAATAGCCTCTCAAGGCTATCAGAATAGATAGGAAAAAATAAATAAATAAATAAATAAATGGGCTATCTAACACTGAAATAATTTTTCAAATTGGACCAGTAATTCCTGAGATTAGCGCGTTCAAACAAACAAACTCTTCAGCTTTATAATATTAGTATATATACTTTTTTTATTACTTTAGTTTAAATGTCTTTATTTATTTTTTTATTAAGATACGGAATGATTTCTTTGTGATGTTACAATAGTCCGGCTTCACGTGCACCATATCAAAACATTTCAGATGACAATCGGTTATGGATCGAGATATCCGAACGAAGAATGTCCTGAGGCGATCATTATCATGGTCTTCGAGGTAAGCACCTTGCAAATACATTATCGAATTGATAATAACACTGATATTAATAGGAGTTTAGAGTCATAAGAATTCAGAGGCTACAATATACATTTTTATGAAGGAATTCAATTTTATGCATCACTAGAGCGAGCTAACAGTGTATCGAACTAAATTCCGAAAACAAATGGCAGTTGCTGTGCTCGCTGCACGAAATGTGACACAGTAATTATATATTACTGGTGGTAGGACCACTTGTGAGCCCGCGCCGGTAGGTACCACCACCCTGCCTATTTCTGCCGTGAAGCAGCGTTTCGGTTTGAAGGGTGGAGCAGCCGCTGTAACTATACTTGAGAGCTTTAGAACATATATCTCAAGGTGGGTGGCGCATTTACATTGTAGATGTCTATGGGCTCCAGTAATACTAACACCAGGTGGGCTGTGAGCTCGTCCACCCATCTAAGAAATAAATAAAAAAATGAATTGTAAGACTGAGATGGAAATGAATTGCGGGGTCAATGCACTTGTAGGGACGGGTGCCTACCCACCTTCACGTTATATTACAGATTCTTATACTTACGTTGAGTTGGATAATTGATTTTTTTTTATTATTGCTGATGGGTGGACGAGCTCACAGCCCACCTGGTGTTAAGTCGTTACTGGAGCCCATAGACATCTACAACGCAAATGCCGCAAACCTTCTTAAGATATAAGTTCCAAGGTCTCAGAATAGTTACAATGGTTGCCCTACCCTTCAAACCGAAACGCATTACTACTTTACGGCAGAAATAGGCAGGGTGATGCTACCTACCCGTGCGGACACACAAGAGGTGCTACCACCAGTATTTCTTTTATTATTTATATTATCTATACTGTTTTCTGTTTGATTTGATACTAATGATACCCATATATTAATGAGTTAGATTCGTTTTAGAATAGGCAACCTGCCCTATTATTAAAAATAATTCAATTTAATAGACAAAACTATGAACATCAGAACATGTGCACGTATACATTTCATTCAGTGAGATTCTGAATATTTCCAGATCGTAGCCGGGACTGCCTTATCCGGGGGACTGTCGAGCTTACTATTCACTAAACTGGTTCGACCAAATCGACACGTGTCATCGGTCGGCTTCAGCAAGAAGGCGACGGTAGACACATTTCCTTATTTATTCCAATACTCTCCTTGACACACAATGCCCTTTATGAAGCTAAGGATCGCAGCAGATGGAGGGAAATCATACGGGAGAAACTGATGCAGCGGGGGAGTCACGACCCTCAGTAATGAGGAAAACGACGCGAGGAGGAGACTCTCCTTGAGTGAACCCACATGGATTATTACGATGGGACGTCGGTCCCTTTTTATTGCCTTACATGGATGGTGCGTCTGGTGAAAAGTGACCATCGGAATAGACAGAAGACAGACCATGAACAGATTTTAACACCTTAGCTGCGGCAACTAAAATCATAAACCTTCCTCTGGTGCGTTAGAGTTTGAACTGTGCCCCCAACGATATTTTCACCAGTCCCTGGCAGGTCTTTCTTGACCTACCAGCACACTAGGGTAGATTAGAATCCTTTAATTTGGGAAAAAATACTGTATACAATTTATAGTATATAGTTGTCGGTGTCGAAATGTTAGAATCACCTGAAATAATCGGTCCGCACCAGCGATAGGGACATAGTTTTACATTACAGACACCAGCTGAAAGTACTGCAACGTGGTCATATGGGCCTGTTCCGCAGTGAAGATGTTAAAAGCCTGCTATAATAAGATGAAGAGATGAGAAGATTCGCAGGAAAATCATGGTGACTGACATAGCCCAAAGGATTGCGACGTTGAAGTGGCAGTGGGCAGGACACATTGCTCGTAGAACGAATGGCCGTTGGTAACGGAAAGTTCTTGAGTGGGGACCGCGTACCAGAAGACGTAGTGTCGGTAGGCCTCCCACAAGATGGACCGACGATCTATTGAGGTTCGCGCGGCTCCACTCGATGTAGGCAGCGCATGACCGATCTTTGTGGCGAAGCTTGGGGGACGCATATGTCCAGCAGTGGACGTCTATAGGCTGATAAAATAGAATAGCTTTAGTAAAATAATATGCTAATTACGCTGTCTCCAGGTATGCCTCCGTGATGGAGAATTATGCCTTCAGTTCAGGGTGTGGGACCTCCTCAACCTTCACATGATCGGCAGTACTATTACGGCATACATTTTGAAGCCAGTCAGGTAATAATATCTCAAGTATTCAAAGTTATCGAACTGGCACGTTAGCTATTTATTTTAAGCACAAAGTCGAGGCCAAAGTCAGAGTATTTCTGCCCGATTCATAATATGGAAAATGAAAGGTATTGTACAGTTTTCATAGGACTTGTCACCAAATTGTAGTGTTTTGACTTAACTGTTTTGAGATAATTTATTTTCAATAACAGAGAGCTTGTAAATTTATCTCCAATGGCGCATAAATTATAACACAAAAAATAACAGTCCTAATTTTTCCTTTAAATACCGGAAATCTTGAGATCATCACATCAAAGATCAGAAACACGCCGCACCATCAGTATTTCATTCCTCATTCATGGCGAGCTCTCTTCAATCGGTCCCTCATTGCTGAGGATGGTGATTCCGTTCGATTCCGTCAACTAGCTGTCTCCATCGATGCCGTTCTGTAGCCCGGTGGAGTGCGTCGCTGACAGGTACCCCCAGTTCCTCCACTATTTGGTCCGACCGTCGTTTGGGACCTCTACCCCTAGGCCTTTTCCCCTCGATTTTACCGGTCACCACAAGGCGTTCCAAATTTCACGGCGACCTATAATAATAATAAATATTTAATAACAATCACGCCACGTTAACTGGTCCCGTGCTAAGTTCGTAAAGAACTTGTGTTACAGGTACCAGATAACGGAAATAAATGTAAGGTTTTTATTATACACATACATATATTTAATATACATCCAAAACCCTGGAAAAGACATTTTATATTTATCATACAAATATCTTCCCTTGGCGGGATTCGAACACGCGACCCCCTTGTGTAGTGACCATGTCACTTACCACTACACCAGACGGCCGTTAATGATGGACCTATGATGTCATTCATGGAAACAAAATTCTCAGAACTTTGGAAGGCGAGTTAGTCCACAACTACATTCATCAGCTGAAGCTGAAAGAGGCCCGGGCGTTTCTCCTCTGGCCCATAACTGTGGTCCACGTGATCGACGCTGAGAGCCCGTTGTACGACTTCTCCGCGCAAGACATGATGGATTACAGGTAACCTTAACACTAACGTTAATTTACAACATACTCTTTTAAATAAATATATAATAAAACCTTCGATCAACAATAGTAACTATTGTTGATCGAAGAATAAAACATATAATATTTGAAGTGTATTCAACTGATAATTATTTTTAATAAATAAAAGTGAATTGCTGTTCGTTAGTCTCGCTAAAACTCGAGAGCGGCTGGACTGATTTGGCTAATTTTGGTCTTAAATTATTTCTAGAATGTCCAGAGAAAGTTTTAAAGGTAGATAAATATGAAAATGCTCGGAATTAAATAAAAATAACATTTTTGTTTTTCCTTTGATGTGTCCCCCGTCGGACGGATTACTTTTGTTTGTTTTAAGTTTATTTTATACAAAAGTTTAGGTCTTTTATTTTGCCGATTTAGGCACTACGAAGTCTGCCGGATCAGCTAGTTTTTAATAAATGTAACTTTTTATTTGAATGGTTTTGGTTATTTTCAGTATGTTTCAATGATGCTATGTACACATATGGACTTGTTGTTCTTGTCTGAAATAAAATCATTCGTTCATTCATTGATTCTTTTAAAGATTTCATAGTCCTTTAATAGTCTTTCGTCAGACAGACTCAGTTCTTGAAAATAATTAGACGTATGTCTGAATCAGTGGTAATACCTGCTTATAGAATTTCTAATAAATACCCATTTGATTCCTCTCTGCAGTCTTCTCGATGACTAATAATTAACCTGATGAGCCACTTGTCGTTTCCAGGTTCGAGATTGTGGTCTCCTTAACCGGTTCTTCAAAGAACATGGGAACGGTTACCCAGAGTCGCACATCCTACTTGTCCAAAGAAATTATCTGGGGCTACAGATTCAAGAATGTTTTGAAGTAAGTAATCAATACATTAGCTTACTGGTCCGGACATCAGACACCGTTCAGCCTATTTCTGCCGCTAAGCAATCTTGCGTGCTGTAAAGAGATGATTTTACGTTATTATAATGTAATAAAAGTTTATTATCTTGTCTCTGAGATCACTACAAGTGTTCAAGATGACAAATATGATTAGATCATGGACCGTACAGCTTTGTGCCGTTTTGTTACGAATTATTTCGAATTAAAAATACTTTTACTTATTATTTATTATTGGTGGTAGGACCTCTTGTGAGTCTGCAGGGGTAGGTACCACCGCCCCGCCTATTTCTGCCGTGAAGCAGTAATGCTTTTCGGTTTGAAGGGTTGGGCAGCTGTTGTAACTATACTTGAGACCTTAGAATTTATATCTCAAGGTGTGTGGCGCATTTGCGTTGTAGATGTCTATGGGATCCAGTAACTACTTAACACAGGTGGGCTCTGAGCTCGTCCTCACATCTAAGTATTTAAAAAAAAAAAAAAAATTATTACTGGTGGAAGGACCTCTTGTGAGTCCGCAGGGGTATGTACCACCACCCTGCCTATTTCTGCCGTGAAGCAGTAATGCGTTTCGGCTTGAAGGGCGGGGCAGCCGTTGTAACTATACTGAGACCTTAGAACTCGTATCTCAAGGTGAATGGCTGCATTTGCTTTATAGATGCTTATGGGCTCTGGTAACCACTTAACATCAGTTGAGCTGTGAGCTCGTCCACCCATCTATGCAATAAAATAAATATAATAAAATAAAAATATCTCCAGTTTTCCTTATCAATATATTATACAAATTCAAAATCTATGAAACAATATAACGGTAATATTAAAAATGAAATACAACAACAGCACACACATATATTTTTTTTATTGCTTAGTTGGGTGGACGAGCTCACAGCCCACCTGGTGTTAAGTGGTTACTGGAGCCCATAGACATCTACAACCTAAATGCGCTACCCAACTTGAGATATAAGTTCTAATGTCTCAGTATAGTTACAACGGCTGCCCCTTTATCTTCAATCATTGTCTTCTTCAGGTATTCGAAAGAAAAGGAAGCCTATGCGATTGACATTGAAAACCTGGATACGGTGGAACAAGTCGAGACGCCACTCTGCAGCGCCTGCCGTCTCAAGGATTTCGAAGATAACATGAAAGACTCAAACACCCCAACCGTCTTGACCCAACAAATGTCCATTTCGCCAACAGACCTATCTTTAAGCCAGGAGGACTCTTCCACNTTCTTCAGGTATTCGAAAGAAAAGGAAGCCTATGCGATTGACATTGAAAACCTGGATACGGTGGAACAAGTCGAGACGCCACTCTGCAGCGCCTGCCGTCTCAAGGATTTCGAAGATAACATGAAAGACTCAAACACCCCAACCGTCTTGACCCAACAAATGTCCATTTCGCCAACAGACCTATCTTTAAGCCAGGAGGACTCTTCCACAATATCTAAAATCGGCGATTCTCTGCCGTCAAGTCCAACTCTGAACAGAACTGCCACCCAGAGGAGCTTTGGATGGAACTTTAGGAGATTTTATCCAGAGAAGTACGTTAATTATGGACAGGAACAAAAAGAGTTGAATGTTTTGAAGCAACAGATGTGACTGTGTCTGTTTTTGGTGTGAGTTGCCTGTCTCTTCGAAGATTAGGTACACTGATATAAGCTGATACCTCAGTTAAATGTTTGCTCATCCACACAGATTCTGACTGCCTAGGGATAATTCAACATACGTAATGGGAGTGGAGTCTCAGAAAAATTACGTTAAGAGTCTAACATACTCTTACGCGCTGGGGTTCGGGATAAATAAAATTTCACCAAAGTACAACTTAAATACTGTATTCAACACTTAAAACACTTAAATACTTCATAAGCACTTTAAAACACTCAACAGACACTTTAAAACTCTCAATCCGCTTGTTCCGCTTCGCTTCAGGTGATCCGCTCGCTGTTTCGCTTCGATAACTGACTGACTGCGCGCCATCCCTACAACTCTTTTATAGCCGATACCTCATCGCTAGAATCATCGTGAATATTCCACACTTCTCTACTCATAGTTCCCGCTATCTGACAGATGGCGTTGTAATTCTCGAGCATTCTGGATCTTTCGATATTCGTTCGACTATCCGACGATAGATGGCGTTACTCCAACCGGCGTAACAATACATACATCTGAGTTGTTCCGGCTGGATTGCGAAGCTCTCTGTCACAGACTGCCGAAAACTAGCAGCCGTTTATTATCTCCAGACGCTTACGTACAATGTGCGTCCAAGATAAAGTTGCTTCTGCGTATTGCAATGCAGTAAAAATCTTACTTAACTTAGGTTAAGTTTTGAACTATTAAACAAAAACATAATTAAGTATGACACTTGTTGTAATCACAATTACTATTAGAGGTTGCTTTATAAATATACATACTATGATAAGTAAATAAAACATTTCAAAGATACTGATGATAGTTTTTTTTTTAATCGACTCCAAGTAGAAAATGTAGGAGATTCTCAATACGGGTGGGTACGTTCAACAAAAAGTCATGGTATTCCTTGATTTTTATAAATATTTTAGTTGATCTATACAATTGATATACCAGAGAATGTTAATATCTACCTCTCCTACATATTAATAATAGCGTAAATGCCGCCACCCACCTTGAGATATGAGTTCTAAGGTTTCAGTTTATAAAGTACAACGGCTGCACTGCCCTTCAAACCCACTGAAGTAATAAAGGTGTATGTTCAAACCGAAAAGCTTTACTGATTCACGGCAGAAATAGGTAGGGTGGTGGTGGTACCTACCCGTGCAAACTCACAATACATCCTACCTTCAGACGTATTTTTATAAACTGCATTGATAGATAAACTACCTTCTACCTTCATACTCTGAAATTAGAAATGCGTTTTGTGGCTATCAAGGAAATAATAATAAAACTGACATTTGAATTGTAATTGGTAAATAAAAATATAGACAAAAGTATTAAAATGTCCGAATAAATTCATGTTTATATAATTTAAGAACAAATAAATCTCAAAGATATTTGATTAAAAATATTGGTAACTAGCTGACCCGACAGACTTCGCAGTGCCTCAATCGATAAATAAAAAACCTAAACTTTTGCATAAAATAAACTTAAAACAAACAAAAGGAATCCGTCCGACGGGGGACACATCAGAGGAAAAACAAAATTGTTATTTTTATTTAATTCTGAGCATTTTCATATTTATCTACCTTTTAAACCTTCTCTGGACTTTCATAAATAATTCAACACCAAAATTAGCTAAATCAGTTCAGCCGTTCTTGAGTTTTAGCGAGACTAACGAACAGCAATTCATTTTTATATATATAGATTATTATTCATTAAAAAAAGTATTTACTCTAATCAGCTAATCTATTCCAAGAAATAGTTTATAAATCAGTGATTTAAAAAATTTGGTCTATGCCCAATGTAAAATAAAATTCGTTATTAAATTTTGTTTATTCAAAAGACTTAACTATCATTTAAAACTATTAAAATAACAAAAACACATGTTTAGTTGAGTTTTTATTTAGTTCTACATTTGTGTAAAACAAATTATGGTCCAACATGGATTAAATGTTTAGGTCTAAAGATCGACATAGACTTTATTGAAAGGGTTCAGTATAAAAAGTGGGTTTTGGTTTCGTGCAAGGCGCATGTCTTTACCATTGTTGTTAATTGTTGATGGGCGTATTCCTTTTTTTTTGACTGCTTAGATGGGTGGACGATTTTACAGCCCACCTGGTGTTAAGTGGTTACTGGAGCCCATAGACATCTACGACGTAAATGCGCCTCCCACCTTGAGATATCAGTTGTAAAGTCTCAGTATAATTACAACGGCTGCCCCGCCCTTCAAACCGAAACGCATTACTGCTTCACGGCAGAAATAGGCAGGGTGGTGGTACCTACACGCGTTGACTCAGAGGAGGTCCTACCACCAGTAAAATGACATTGAAGCTGTGGTTTCTGTGAGCCCCATCAACCACAAGGTAGACTGTTAGTACGTCTGTCCTTTGACAACATTCAACGATAATTAACCTAATAGAATGTCTGTATGTCCCTATAAAGTACGGTTATTCAATCATACAAATAAGAATGATACAAAAAAAAACAATAAGCAAAAAAAAAATGTTGAACCCTAAGGACAACGAAGTGTGAAGTACCGTGTACAGGCGCCGGGGTCAATGACCGCGACATGTGCTTTTGTACAAAAATATTTATTCAATCATCGCACACGTGCTTTTCACACAGAGCTCTGACCTAATTATAAAAAAAATAAAATTGGAGCTTAATTTTCAGCACATTGAAAATTTTACATTCAAAATATAGAATGTGTATGTAATATTTTTCATATGAGTGAATAAATTGCCTACATATATAATACAGTCCTGACCTTGCACCTTCAGATTTCCACCTGTTTCGATCTCTTCAGAATTCTTTAGGCAGTGTCAGAGATTAACATCACGAGAGGACTGCCAAAACCAATTGTAGCGGTATTTTGATCAGAAGCCCCAAAATTTCTATAACAATGGGATCATGTCCCTACCTACATGTATGCTACTGATGGCAAAAAGTTATCGAACAAAATGGTACCTACATACTTTAGTTAAATGTATATCTAATATATAAAATTCTCGTGTCACAGTTTTCGTTGCCATACTCCTCCGAAACGGCTTGACCGATTTTGATGAAATTTTTTGTGCTTATCCGGTATCTATGAGAATCGGCCAACATCTATTTTTCATCCCCCTAAATGTTAGGGGTAGTTCACCCCTAAATTTTTTATTTTATTTTTTAGACAAAAATTTTAATTTCTATTTTTTTATGATACAACATGGATACAACATACAAAAATACATATATTCCTCAATTTTCACCCTTCTACGATCAATCCTTATTTTTTATTTGCTAATTAAGAATCGGCTACTATCCATTTTTCATACCCCTAAGTGAAGGGTTGTCCACGCCAAACATTTATTTTAATTTGTTGTATTATTGTTTTTGTTTATAATGAGGTATTATGTGGTTAAATAAGGGTTTTTTTCTACAGTAGAATTTCCCTAGAAATCTTTTTTAAGGCAACACAACGTTTGCCGGGTCAGCTAGTAAACTATATTAAAATATGTTGTGAATTTTCTATAAAAATGCGAAGAAACTTTTTCCCCAACCTATTATACCAGAGCCTGAAAGTTCCGCTGTGCACTTAAGACAGTATAGTATAGTACATTTGAAAACAGTCTATACATAGTTGACGACTAAATTGTGCATGGTCGCATGGTGGAGTTACTAAACAGAACTACATTTATATTTTGTTATGATTGAAAGATTACTGGTGACCTGGAGGCCTTTCCAGTTTCACCAGGACAGGTGGGCGAGCAAAGGCTCAGCCAGGAGGGTTGGGATTTGCTAACAGCTCCCCGAGCGCCTCCGAAGGAGACCTAATAACTCAAGAGCAGCTACTTCGCTAATGAATGTACTACCGGATCGGAATCGCGACCCGCTGAGAAGATCCGGCGAGAAACTCAGCATGGCATGGGGGATGGGGGTTTCAAAAGTCGTCGTGGCCTAAAGGATAAGACGTCCGGCGCATTCGTGTTGAGCGATGTTCGAATCTCGCGCGGGTACCAATTTTTCTAATGAAATATGTACTCAACAAATGTTCACGATTGACTTCTACGGTGAAGGTATAACATCGTGTAATAAAAATTAAACCCGCAAAATTATAATTTGCGTAATTAGTGGTGGTAGGGCCTCTTGAGAGTCCGCGCGGGTTATTTCTGCCGTGAAGCAGTAATGCGTTTCGGTTTGAAGGGTGGGGCAGCCGTTGTAACTATACCTGAGACCTTAGAACTTATGTTTCAAGGTGGGTGGCGTATTTACGTTGTAAATGTCTATGGGCTCCAGTAACCACTTAACACCAGGTGAGCTCTGAGCTCGTCCACTCAACTAAGTAATAAAAAAAAAGGTTATTTTATTTTTTGGTTTTATTTGTTTTGGTAATTTTAAGCATGTTTCAATGATGCTATATACAGTTAAGGATTTGTTGTTGTTGTCTGAAATAAAATAATTCAGTCATTCATTCATTCATTAATCATTCATTTGAATCATTCATTCATTTTGGTGTTCATGTTTAATTCCACCAGGACCGTGTTAATATTGGCGTATAAGCATTTCAATTTAGGTTAACAATGATATAATTACGACTTGACGCCGCCGGTGTATACAGATAACACAATTCGCCGCGTAAACATAATAATTGTCACTTTAATTAGAGTCTGTACGTTTTTTTAATTGTTTGTTGAGTTTAAGGCCGCGTGTGTTGATACTGTGGTCACATCCGTTATATTACAATGTAAAATAAGTAATACTATACTTTACTGACAATGTTTAATACTAGGAACAAACATAGGAATGCTTCGTTGGCTCAGATACGTGAATAATATAATAAGCTCTGTTAGAGAGCCTTGTTTTTCATTTATTGCTTAGATGGGTGGACGAGTTCACGGCCCAGTTGGGGTTAAGCGGCGTACCTACCCGTGCGGGCTCTCAAGACGGCCTACCATAAGTAATTACAAATATTATAATTTTTCAGGTTTCATTTTTTTACACGATGTTATTCCTTCACCGTGGAAGTCAATCGTGAACGTTTGTTAAGTACGTATTTCATTACAAAAATTAGTGCCCGCCTGCGGGATTGGAACACCGATGCATCGCTCAACACGAATGCACCAGACGTCTTATCTTTTAGGCCACGACGACTTCGAAACCTTGTGTACAATAAGATCCCAAATTATTACCTATTATTAATGAACATATTATGAAG